CAATTAATAAAAAAATTAAATAATTTTACCGGACCTATAACCCACAGAACAAAATTAATGATGGCAAACTAATAAAAATAACATAAACGTATGAACTTCCCTGATCCAGTCGTCCGTCGCCTCTGGCGGAGAATTTGGATTAACGGCGATGAAAGACAAAAACGTTCAATTATCCTCGCCGCCGGCCTTCCATCTCCTAGTTTCAAGTTCTCGCTACGTGGATTAGGATCTTGCTGCACGCTCGCCGTCGTGGCGGCGATGGTGCGCATGAGGGCTAGCACCTCGGACTCCCTGACGCGGCGGAGGGTCTGGACGCGCTTGGCGGTGAGGAGGTGGAGGGTGGCGATGCGTCGGAACTGGCGCCAGTAGTCGCCGTAAGGGGAGTGGATGAGGTTGATGCCGCCGGCCATGATCTTGGCCTGGTGCGGGTGGAAGGGCCGCTGTGCTAATCACTAACCGTCTTTCTGATTGCGTTGATTTTCACTGTAAAAAAAAGGGTAGATCTTGAACCATGTGTTATTTTTATGCGAAAATTTTAAATCCCAAGTTAAAAAGAAGGAAATATGATTTGATTAAGAAAAACGAGAGATTAGAAAAAGCTATCTTTGACTGGTCACAAAAATTACTTCCTCTGTTCATAGATCCGTGACAGCTTGTCAGCTAGACAAAAAAACAAGGTAAAATTACCAAACTGCCCCTCTTGACACCATTCCTTATCTTGGGCATTAGATGAGCTAAATATGGACGGCCAGAGGTTTTGTAGTATATGGATTTTGTACCATATGCGCTACCAATAATCACATTCTTAATCATTGAGAGTATTGGTTAATTTAAATTAGTCAATCTTAAATTAGTATGTAAGGAAATTTTGGTATGATTTTAGTGGTCCTCAATTTTAAATATAGTCATGTAAGGATTCCAAGTACAACCTAAATATACGTTTGTAGAAAATTATAAAATGATCAAATCATCGTGCACGGGATTAGGTATAGGCGTATGGCATCAATTTTCGTTGAATATGGCATCAATTTTCACGACTCTCGGTTCCACTCAACTTTTCTTGTTTATTATATTGGTTAGTTATTCCGAACCCTATTTATAAAATGATTCCACCTTATCGCTAAGTTGACTTTTCAACCGAATTTGGTGCAACAGTTAGGTTTTGGGTTTTTTGGAGGTACTAATTAACGCCTAACTTTTTAAAATTTGTCGTCCTAATTTAAACAATTTGACGTTTTTGCCCCCAATTCCCAAAATGAGGCATCACCCTATCCCTAATTTTGCTCCGCCCTTCGCCAATCCACCGTCGGAATTGTGAATCTCCGGTTGACGAAGTAGCTCTTCTCCACCTATGTTGCTGCTCCACCCGTCGTCGTTGAGGAAGGAGAGAGATGGTCGGTCCCGATTCCCGAACCCTCTAGCCCTTCCCCCGTCGCCGCCGTTCGCCCCGGAACTTCTTCTCCCGTAGTCGTCGTTCTCCCTGGGGAAGATCAGAGAAGCTCAAGTGATCGAGGTCCTGGAGAACATATCGAGTCTGGTAAGAGTATTGCTGCCGCTGTTGAACTTTGATTGGGTGTGAGCATTTCCCGATAAACAGTGTAGCGCGCTGGAAAGATGGAAGTGTTGGGGCCGGCTGTGATGGCGGAGATCGCCAAGATTTTGGAAAGACGACGACGACGACGGAGATCGCCAAGATCGCCAAGTGCTGCTGCCGAGCGATGGTGAGGAGGAAAAAGGAATCACCTCCGCCGGGTGAAGTTGCAGAGCTGTCCTTTTCTTCATCGTGGGAGAACTTCGCCAATGAATTTCATGGCCCGGAATACCCATATTCCCACGGCGGGCAATAAAATTTGTCCACTCTGATTTTTCTTAGATTGTGTCTCGCTCTTCGACGGGAAGAGGAACGGGGCTCCGGCGGCGAGATGAGCAAAATTAGGGATTAGGGTGACTGTGGAAGGAACTGGGGAAATATCGTCTGTTTTATTAGTTTAAGGCGAAAATTTTAAAAAGTTAGGGCGTTAAATAGAAATCCAGTTTTTTAAAGGAGATAGATAGTTAATAGATAGGAAATTATAAAGAAGTGGAAAGTAAATAACGGTATCAGCTAAATGCAGATTTCCCGATGCAAGAGCCGTTTTCGTCACGTAATTGGCAGTCCTGTTAGTTCTACGAGGAGAGAAAACAAAACGAATAAACGCGAACGATGCTTTCATCAACCGAACTTCATGAAGGATCGCACCTCCACTATTATGCTGGGCTTCATCCTCCGTCACTCGCCGGATCACCATTTGTGAATCACCACAGAAACAAACAGATGAAATACCCCGAGTTAAGCACCAATCCATATCATCTCTTAACGCAAAAAGTTCCATTACAAAAGGGTCAAATAATCCTTTGTAGTACTTACCGTTAGCAAACACGATCGAATCCAACAGTGAGAACCCAACAAATCCTATGCTACCCCCTATATCTCGCCGAGTAGCACCATCAAAGCGTAGCAATAGCCCACCTGGAGGACAGGAAGGTGAGGGAGGAGTGGAGGGCTGCCGACCAGAGGGAGATCCATCACTGGCTTGCGAAGATGTTGCTGTAATCCACTCATCTCGAATGTGTTCTTTGCCAGCCAAGCTCCAAACCCCTCGAGCTACCCTGCCATCAAAAAGACAGTGAGATATTGGTTCAACCGCTGAAGAACAAATATGACACTTGTTTGATTCACTTAGAGTTTTGGTTTGGAGAACTTCCAAACAAGGCAAGAATCCTCTTACAACCCTCCACAAGAAGAACTTCAGCTTGGGAGGAACAGGCAAACTCCAAAGCAATTTCCAGAATCGAGAATCCAGATGAGGAGGGAGCTTAGTGAACATCTCTGATCGTTCATCCGAGAGGAGATGATAGCCCGCCTTCACTGTATATTGACCTATCTCAGAATAATGCCAGATATATCTATCAGGTTTAGGTGTCAAGGGAATAGGAATGGACATGATCCACCTTATGCTATCCATAGTAAAGTACTTGCAGAGGAGATCCAGATTCCACATGTGAGTCAACGAGTGAATGAGAGAAGCTACATAAGGGTTGGGAAGCTGAACACTAGGTAACAAAGAAGAGGATGATTGGGGAGAGGTAGGTAACCAGGGGTCCTGAAGGAGGGTCGAGTTCCCGTCAGAGCGGTGAGGAAGTCACAATGAGGGTGATATCGAGCCTTGTACATCTGGGCTAGGGTTAAATTAGGGGACATTAGTATCTTCCAAGCCTATTTTGGCAGCATATCTATGTTGAATATATCGAAGTCCTTGAAGCCCAATCCTCCACGATATTTCCTCACGTAGATGGCTGGCCAGGATATCTAGTGTATCACTTTCTCCTTATCTTGACTTGCCCACCAGAATCTTGAGAGTTTACCATTCATACGACGACAGGAGGTGGACGGTAGGCGGAATGAAAGCATCACATACACCGGTGTCGCAGAACCTACAACTTTTATCACTACCTCCTTTGTTGTCAAGGAAAGTGACTTGGATTTCTAGTTTTGAATGCGTTTAGCAAGGGCATCCTCTATAAATCGAAAAGTATGGACTTTGGATCATTGAATCTGAGCTAAACCAAGGTATTTGTCCATCTCGCCAATGGATTCCACTCCCAAAGTTGCAGCAACTCTGAAGCTTCCTGATCTGAGACATTGGAGTTTGGCGAATACCCCCTTCCGGACGAAAGTATCCATGTGTGTTGCCATTCAGGAGTATGGGAAATGTAACTATTGTGACACAGGCCTTGATTAATTTTATCCATGCAGAATTAAACCCCAGCGACTCCATAACAGCAAAGATAAAGCCCCACTCTACTCGGTCGTACGCCTTTTTCATGTAAATTTTGAGGGCCATCCACTTATCCCGACCTTGTTCTTTCGTTTTGATGAAGTGCATAACCTCTTGGGCCATGAGGATGTTGTCTGAGATATCCCGGCCTTTGACAAAACCATTTTGAGCATCACTTACCACTAATGGAAGCACTCGACTCAACCGGGTAGATAGACACATAACCTTTGGCTCGGAAGGCAAATAACATATTCTTGGGGACAGGATAGTGCCAACCAGAAAGAAAGAATAAAGTGGTTCTCAAAACTTTTCAAATCCTGAGTAAACGGGAAATCTCAAAGAACTTGAATCATTATGTTCAAGCTACCCAACCAATCAGTCAAATTATCCTTCGACAACTTGACATGAAGGATGGAGTTGATATACCATGACAACCAAACCAAGTACACAACTCAAGAATAGGCGTGTGAGACCCTAGATTGGCAATAAGTAACTCAAGAGTTGGCACCATTAGGACATACCATAAGATGAAAGTGCACAACAGATCCCGGGATACAACGTGATGTGGCCTTGAAGATGAAGAATCTGAAATTCTCACAAGTCCAACTACTCAATCTTCTCACCCATTCCTTGAGAGATTTCAAGATACCCTTCACCAATTGGAGGAATGGGTCGGTCAACTATCCTCACATTGCGTATTTTGTGACTCACATCTCCCGGCAAAGTCAATCAAGCATATCTTAAGAACCGACATCAACAAGGCAACACCCCGAGATGAAAAGAAGAACATTATGCCTAGACCACCATGCTATAAAATCCTCCAACATAATCAACCTACCAAACACAAATCATGAATAAGAAGATCATATGGCTAACACATCAACCACTCAAGAACCAATGTCCAAGGTCGATAAAGCAGAGGACCAACCTTTCACAGTCCCCAAAATGACTTGCTTTGGATCACTAAGGAGACAAAGAGGAAATACTAGATGGCAAGCCCAATTCCTCGAGATAATGACTCACTCCGAAGGAAGAAACTACCCACCGGCGACACCCATGTTACTCCAGCGCGAGCATAATTAAAATTCAAGTTTACTAAAAGGGACAATGACAGACGCCTGACCAAGTTGTCTATACAACCAAGCAAGTGTCTCTGACGCCCAACTGTAGTCAGCTACCTGATCAATGGGATCCAAAAAGAGGTTCACCACCGATCGAACCTTGTCTCCGCTCTTGTCCAGAAACAGAGTGGACCCCAACAGCGTCAACATGTACGCCTGCGCCTCTGTGGAAGCTGTCACGTGCGCCTGCAAGTATCTGCACGCCATCTCTGCAAGAAAACCAGTTACCCCTCGTAGCACAACCAGGGGCCTCCGACCTACTATTCAAATGCGCCTTGTTCATCCCAAGAAGATTACACAAACTCAACTCTGTCTGGTCTAACCTCTCCTGACTCATGCTCATCAGCCGTCCCTCGATAGGAATCTGCAATATGTACTCAACATCGTGGAGGAGGATCGTCATCTCTCCAAAAGGCAAGTGGAAGGTGTTCGTGTCTGGCTGCCACCTCTCCACAAAAGCTGAAATCAAAGCATCATCAATCGATATCTTGCGAAACATGCAATATATGATATGCTGAAGACCGGTCTGTTGAACCCTATCATCCGCCTCATCATGCGTAAAACGATAACACTGCAGATATTCAACTGAAGAACTACGACTATAGCAAGTGATGATCCCTCGGTCTCCAGTGCCCGTCCAAAGATTATAACCAGTGTGGTCACGAAAGCTCCTAATGAAGCTAGGATCCTTAGGTCCACCAAGACACTCACCAACAAGCTCCCACGGTCGAGGATCACTCTCCGCTCCTACTCCGTCCAGTCCCGGAGCTCTTTGTATCCTCCCGAGCAGGTGGTACGAACCGCCCACCTCGATCCCTATACATGGCCGGACGTGGAGGAGGGACTCGGAGTCAACATCAAAATCCTCTGAAAACACCCTCGATGCAGCACCCTGGTTCCTCCCATGTGAACTAGTCACCCATGATATCGTAGGTGCAACTACACCGTCCATCTCGCTCTGACTGATGTGCGATCTGTCGATCGCACTTCTTCTCCTTATTCTTCTCGGGCACCATCCTTCTTGTTGATGCATCAACATTCCTACCATCGAATCTAGGCAATTCACTCCCACCCGCATCCATATCTAATTATCCACAAATTTACACAATATCATATTTAGGTGCGCACTAATATTCTTGAGTAAAACTCTCGATAATTACACATCAACTAATTAATTAACACTAATTGTTAAATCGTTCATCAATTAATGAATTTCTTATTAACTAACACTAATTGTTAAATCGTTCACCAATTAATTAATTTTTTATTAACTAACACTAATTTCACCAATTAATTAATTTTCTACTAACTAATTTAATTAATTAAACCAAATTAAATTAATATAAATAATTAACTAATTAATTACTTAACTAAATTAATAACCACTAATTAATTAGTTTAATAATGTTAAATTTTTTAAAAGGGGCTAATAACACTGGGAAACCCGAACTATTAACTTTGTGACATTTGTGTCCTAAAGTATTTGATATGACATTTGTGTCCTGACGTATGATAGTTGTGTGTCATTTACGTCCTGACAATTTTGTTGACCGTTATAGATAACGGTTGACCAAACAGTCAACCATAAAATTTTGACTTTTGGTTACATGGCACATATGTGGCCGCCACATATGCGCCACATCAGATTGTTATTTTTAAATTAAAATTAACAATTAAAATAAAAAATAACCCCTTCTTCCTCATCTCTTCATACCCGCCACTTTCCACTCCGTCCGCCTCCCGCCGACGCTTGTCCAGAACAAGTTCCACTCCGTTTCGCGATGTGCTTCAACTCTTGGGGCGGGAGAGATTGAGAAGCTGTGGCGACGAAGAAGGAATTGCGGGTGGGAGATCGATGCAGCGACGGCGGGTAGTTGCAATGAAGAAGAATTGGGGGTGGGAGATCGATGCAGCTGTGGGTGGGAAGCCTACTGTACCTTCAGCGAGTTAGTACCGGTCGTCGTAGCCGAGCTCCATCCAGCCGTGCTCAGTGGTCGCCGCAGGCAGCTATCACAGTTCCTCATCTTCCCTTCAGCTACTAAATCCGCCGCAACCTCAGATTTTATGGTGGGTAAGGGTTTGGTAAGAATTAGGTTTTTGAATTTGGGGTTTTTTTCAATTCCAGAATTTTTGTTATCTCTAGAAGAAGAAGAAGAAGAATAGGGGGTGGGAGAGCGAAAGTAGCCGAAAAGGGGGATGCAAGGGCTGATCCAATTTCAAGCTCCTCTGCATTTCCAAGCCTTGATCCAAACTTCCCCTCGGATTCGGCGGCAAACCCATGGTTCGGCAGCGGTGAGGAAGATGAAGAGGGGAGGCGCAGGACCATTGGCGGTGGTGATCGATCTTCAGCTGAGAGTGTTTTGGCGACGGACGTGGCGGTGGATCTCCTCTCCCCGATGATAGATTCTCCGACGATGCGTCGTCGTCGAGCAGTGGAATCGCTCTCCCATGGCGTGAGATTCGACCTGAACCTAATCGCATCTCCCCTCCGACTAGGCCCTGCTCCTAAGCGGCGTGGTAGACTGTGCAATTCGTTTATCTTCCAAATTCAGTGCGGTGGGGATGTCGATGATGCCGACGGCGGGGTTGACACCGTCGACGTCGTCGTGTTTGGAATTTCTGCAGGGTCGCCAAATTTTGTGGGACCTCTTTCTCGCTTCTTCTTTAGGTGAGAGGGTGTAAGGAGAGGTGCAGTGGAGTGGGATGAGGAGTATGTAGTAGGACTGGGTATGGGGGAGAGATTAATCGGAGAAGGAGGTAGAGGAAAGCATCGGAGGCTCCCATTTTGCGGAGAAGAAGAACAGTCTGGGGAAAGAATCAAAGATTTTTAATAAATTTTTTAGTAATATCTTTTGATTTTGTTAGTTTATTCATTTTTATGAGAAAACAAATATAATAAAATAATAAAAATTCCACGTCAGATGCCACATCAGAGCGGCGACTAGACTTTCTGTTAAAAAATAGTTTGGGACACAATTGTCATATCGAATACTTTAGGACACAAATGACACAAAGTTAATAGTTCGGGTTTCCTAGTGGTATTAGCCCTTATAAAAAAGCAGGCGACCGAAAAAAATTTATGGCAGGACCGACATCGGGCCGAAGGGACGCCAGAAGAAAAATCACGGCCTGCAGGAGCGACGTCGGGCCGAAGGGATTTTCGGGCCAAGACGTCGCCGGGCCGAAGGCATCTTTCGTTGGGGCGCCACCAGGCCGAGAAAATCCTTCGGCTCGGCGAGGCTCAGCCTGAAAACTCCCTTCGGTCCGCCCCCACTTTCGCCGGAAATTGGAAAAGTTGTTGGAATTTGAAAACTTACCTGTTTTTTCGATGGTCGGCGACGTCGAAAAGTTGCCCGGCGACGGAAGCTCTGGGCTCGGCGACAGACGTTTTTTGCGGAAATGTTAATGGAAGTTTTGTTACGTCAAATTTATAGAATGATAGCGATAAAATTCAATTTCTGAATTCAATTTTTTTTAGTTGGTGACAAATAGTCGTTCACTTCCTGAGGACAATTGTCTTGAATTTATTAGTAAAAATAAAAGAGTTAATATTATTTTATATTCTTCTATTATGATAAATTAACAAGTGTACCTCTCTATTAAAATTTTGCACAAAGATACGCTTCTAATATTAAACATAACTCGTTTACCTTTCCATCTAATTGTCTGTTAAGTGGCGTTTAAAGTTACTAGAAAATCACCAAATTGCCCTCATTTACTCCTAATTTCAATTTCAATTATTTTATTTGTGTCTCATATCAATTAATTAAAAAAAAATAACAAAAGCTACGGATCGCCTTCTTCCCCCTGCTCACCCGACGGAACTTCAGTCTGCCTCTCTATTCCCTCGAGTCCCGGAACCAGAGAGACCCGGCCATCAATGCCGGCAGCTTGTCATCGTCGCCGGCTGGAGCAGTCTTTGGCAGTGGCGAAGTCGACCTCTTCCCCACTAGAAGATACAACAACGACTCTCGATTGAAAAGTTATCATGCGAACAGTAGTGGGTGCCGCGACTTCCGCAACCTCCGGCAAATTGTCATCGACGGCGGTGGGAATCAACCTCTTCCCACCCAAAGATACAGTTGCGACGCTCGATTGTAGAGCTCTCCCGCGAACAGTAGTTGATGACGGGACTTTCGCACTTCTTCTCCTCCGGCAGTGCTTGTGGCAAACTGTGCTTAGCTTCCCGATCGATCGGCTTATTTCCGTCCATCTGACCTCTTTCCCTCGAAGTATTTCCTTCACGTGATTCTTGCCCCTCTTTCCAATCAATCCGCGTAATTCCAATTTCCTTGAAAAGATTCGCCTCTATTATCCCCTCGAGGTAAAGATTTCAATTTCTCCACAATAATAGACAAAATATGAAATACAAATAAAAGTATAAAACCCTATTTCAGAAAAGGGAAGGGAACGAAGAGCACAGACGATACTTTTCTGTCTAACTCTTGTTTACATTATTCGCTAAGGTAGACACGAAAAAACGTGAAATCTAGCAAGAGGATTGACAGGCAACGCAAAATGGGGAGAATGGATTTAAGCCAGGGCTGAAAAAACAGAGATTGGAGAAGGCAACAACAGCAGCGACGGTGGGAGGAGGATTTGAGATTGAGAACATAATTTGATTGTTGAAGGAAGAGTTGCAAGCTTGCTCCCGTCGGCGTCGATGGCAAGCTGCTGACGTTGATGGTCGGATTTCTCTGGTTTAGGGACTCGGGGGAGTAGAGAGGAAGACAGAAGTTTCGTCGAGTGGAGTGAGTAGGGGAAAGAAGGGATCTGTAGATTTTGTTTTTTTTTTTTAATTAATTGATATATGACAGAAATAAAAAAAAATTAAACTAAGGGGTCGTTTGGATGTGGAAATTTGAAAACGTTGGAATTTGTCTGAATTTCCATGTTTTACAAAACCAAAGAATTGACTTGTGAAAATTGAAAAAAAATCACGTTTGGATAGGGTTTAGTTTTGTGGGAATTGATGGTGTGGAATTTGGAAAAAGAAGTGAGAAAACGTGGTAATGTCAAATTACTAGGGGGAGGTGTAGTATTCTCAATTACCATGAATGTGGTAATTGAAGCCAATTTCCATGGTCCAATTCCCATACCCTTTTTGCTCTCCCAAACGTGGGTTTTTAACCCAATTACTGCATTATGTGGTAATTGGGTCCAATTACTGCATTACATTTCCACATCCAAACGACCCCTAAAATTAGAAGTAAATGAGGAAAAATTTGGTCATTTCTCAGACACTTTAATGGCCACTTAACGAATAATTAGTTGTAAGAGTAAACTAGATACGTTTTAATATTAGAAGTATATATTTTTCTAAAATTTTAATAGAGAGAACGTTTATTAATTTACAATAATAGAGAAATACAAAATGTTATTAACCCAAAATAAAATTAAACC